TGGTAGGTTAACGAGATTTTGATTGCAAAAACAGATGAAATCAAAAAAGTTGAAGTGATAATGAAAGTAGATGTCAAACCTTAGAATTCTTATAAGCAATGCTTATGGTTATCTATTATCATCACTTTATTAGACAATAACATCTGCAACTAAATGCCTTCAAAATCATGTTGGTCATTTGAGTTAATAACTTTAGTTCAGCAATGAGTTTTTAAATTATTTAGACACCAAACAGTTAAGTATTCTTTCTATGTTTAGTAAGAGTAGCTTGTTTAGTCAAGCATAATCAGAAACATAATTNAGTTTCGAGCTACCGTTGGTGGCGCTAGTGTCGTTAATTGAGGCGTGCTTAGGCGGTGGGGGACCGGAGCGGAAGTCACGTGGGCAGATTATACGTCAAAACTAGTACTCAAACAGGAAAAGACAGACACTACTCTCATTATAAAGGCTTCGAATAACGGTACAGTACTGTTTAATAAAAAATATCAAAACTACCAGCAAATTGTTTCTATATTTTGAGATTTTTTCTTACAATGTAAAGTAATGGAATGCTTACCACCAGACACAATGTTCTTAGCACTTGTGAGTTCAGGCCTGTCGGACTTGGTGAGCTCCTGTGACACAAACTCAGTGAGGTCAGTCTTGTAGTCACCTTCAGGTGCCTTCTCCACAGCGGCAGAGCCACCGTCTAACGCATCAGGGGCGAAGGCAGTCCCTCGGACTGTGATCACCTTGATAGCATCCTTGGCTTCTAATGTCAGGATTGCGTTACCTAAAAAAATATTAATGATGATGTTCTTTTTCCAGTTGTAATCTTACAAGACTAGTCTGATTTTGAATGGAAAAATACTGCTATTTTTGCTAACTTATTTGTCTTTCACAAGGCACTAGAAATTCTGATGATGTATATTGGCCTGTTAACATACACATTGAATAAATTTTACCTGCATAAATAGTTCTCACAAATGTATTGGCATCCTTAACACCAATGATATCAGTGATTGGTGAGACATCAAGCTTGGCAGCCACTCTTGGCAGGAGGGCCTTTCCGAAAGCAGTGGCGGGGGCCAAGATGTGAGTGTAGTTGAACTGTTTCTGAGTCGCCAAGATCAGAGGGGTCAAAGACTCTGCTGTGAAACCCTTGAAGGCTTCATTTTCAGCCACAAGGACTTTGGATACACCACCGGCTTTGGCAATTTTCTCTGCAGCCTGTATAAAAAAAATTNCCAAATTAAAACACACTAAAAAGTGGTACCATATGGGACCGCTAGTCTATAATGGGTTAAGTATTAAGATAATCATACTGAGCAAATATTTAGAATAGGTATCAACTGAATTTTTACTTACAGGGCCACATTTGGTACCAGCTACCAGAACAGATATATCACCACCAATTTTCTTGGCAGCACTCAAAGTGTTCTGTGTAACAGCCGAAAGTGTCTCATTATTGTGTTCAGCTATAACCAAAGTGCTCTGCAGACGGCGCAGCTGAAATAACAAAAATAATAATTATTATCAGACTGGAATCAGGATACCTATGGTTATATTCGTAATGTTTGTAAGCATTCCCAATTAACAAAATGGTTAATTAATTACCTGACTTGATAAAAACAACTGCCTGCTCGACTGAGAAAACATTTTGTGTGAAAAGGTCCGAATATTAGTTATTTCAATCGGGAATTATCTTTTCAAAAAGGTTACAAAGTCCAATTTGTCCAAATCCAAAGACACACACATACGCAAACACATTCATCACACAAACGTCAATGTCAAAAACTTACAATAAATAGAGATGTTCCTTCGATAAATTCACTTTTCTTTCACCACTTCACATCATTTTTATTTTATTTTTTCAAATTATTTATTGCTTACTAAGTGACAATTTTGGGCATTTTAATATCGCCTGTTATTTAGCATTATTAATGTTTTTACTTTATCGGGACATACCTCTTAGTTTAAAAGTTATTACGTTTTGCATTACAATAAGTATTTAAAAGAAAAAAAAATCAATAAAAAAAACTCTCAAGATAGTTTCACCTATTTTCATATGTGCACTTTATCAACAAGACACACTGTATAATCTGGAAGTTTGTTAAATAATTTTACTGACAAGTCGATGAGTCTCAAGAAGTCGAGGTACTCTGTGCTGTGGTCGAGTTGAGAGTTGAGACCATAGAGTAAAGTAATATACAGTGTGTCCGGGCATGTAGTGATCAAACTTTAAGGGCGTAATCTATGTACAATTTTATCGGTGAAAATACTTTAAATTTGGGGCTTGACCAGAAATTCTGTATGGGACTAGTGTGCTGAATACTAGAAAAATATTAGATTTGTCAAATTGACTCTAGATCTTGAGATAAATACTATTAACTATTCATATGAAAAAAACTAAAATAAAAACACCAATCTGTATAAAAAAAATATTTACACTAAGATTCTATTTAAGAACGATATAAAAATTAAAAATATATTTGCTTTTCATCAAATAATAGAAAAACAAAATAAAAAAAAGATTTTTCTGTAAGCTTTTATGTTATGGTTTTGGTCAGGAAAATTCCATAATTATGGCAACAGTAATCAACCATCATCTGGCGGTCCCATTGACCGTGGATATCATTCTACCACTATCCTGATGTTCTGGTAGAACCGTTCTACTTATTATTATTATCACTGTAATCACCCAGATTATGGGAGAATTATTTTAGTGATTAGAAAGCTCAGTTCATATCTTTGGCCTTCCAAATTGAAGTCCTTTACGTCGAGCTTGACTCCAGTATGGCAAAGAGTCTTCACGAGTCTTGCAGACGATATTGGACCCCCAATATTTATTATTTTATGGAAGTTTTATAAGAAAGTATGCTTGGTAGGTTTTTATCACTACCTCCGTGATCTTATTTCTTTGCTTTTGTAAGTTTAGAAGCCAAATATTAACAAAAACTGTTGGGATTGTAAACGCAAGGTCTTCATAATGAACTCATATTTTTGAGACAAAAAAGCTCTTTAAAAATTAATTTAAAAGACACAAACTGTTAATTTCAAGGTCTAGTAGCTGATTACTAAATTGTTGTAACTACAACTACACTAATACATGAGTAGAAAATAAAACTTAGTGGGTATAATCAAATTAATATAAGTTTAGGGAGGGTCGTTTAATTTTTTTCATTGATTTCTTGTGTCTCGTATATCTCAAGAACCAGAGTCAATCAAAAGAAAGTAAATGCACACCATTTATGTTTTATACAAGTATTTACAAAATCCATTAACAAAATAGGTGCCGCAGATTTTTTAATTTTTTTTGTTCCGCAGTGTTATCTTTAGTAAAAGTAGAAAACAGACACAAGTTTCATACATTTTAAGGGAGTAAGAATGGATTTAATTAGAAATAGACATGATTTTTTTCACACATTTTTCAGTTATTTCCCAACACAAGAAAAACCAGGTCGTTAAGGTATGTTTTATTTGCATTGCATTATTAGTACTTGAGCTATTCTACAAAACGAATGTAAATTTATTAGTCTACGTCTATTAGTTTCGACGTAATTGTTGAACAGAGATACCCATTCCTAGCGGTTTCCATAGTATAGCCTGACCAGGAACATAAAAACCCTCGCCATGTTGCGGAAAACTAATGGTACTAATTTCTTTTAATGGCAACAGTAACTGAAAACTTCATTCACATGTCACCATGCATGTCAGTCTATTGTTGTCAAAGTGTAAACAAACTTTATTTTAAATGTGTGCAATTGATTTCGTGAATTAAATTGCTAAAATATTTTATAGTCGTGAAAGAAAAGTGGTTCACGATGTGTTAATGTATTTGTCGAAGAAAAATACTAAGGGTTCGGACAATATTTTCATTGAACAATGTTTCCGACAAAGGTTGTCAAATTGACTGACATAATCGGAATATGTTGTGTAATTCTTTCAGGCAGTGCATTTTCGCATGTCGCGTGCGCTATGGAAACCGCTGGGAAGGGGTATCTTTGTTCAACAATTACGTCGAAACTAATAGATGTAAACTAATAAATTTACATTCGTTTTGTAGAATAGCTCAAATACTAATAATAAAATGCAAATAAAACATACCTTAACGACCTGGTTTTTCTTGTGTTGGGAAATAACTGAAAAAGGTGTGAAAAAAATCGAGTTTATTTCTAATTAAATCCATTCTTACACCCTTAAAATGTATAAAACTTGTATCTTTTTTCTACTTTTACTAATAGTCAATTTTATTGGCTATCGCATGATATAAAATTTTTGCTTATTAATGTTAAACTACCCACGTTATCACTTGTTTTTGAAGGAAGAGGTGAAAACTTAAAATTAAAAACTTAAATCCTTGTAAATATGCGAGAAATGGGTCAAGCCCCAAATTTAAAGTATTTTCACCGATAAAATTGCCCATAGATTACGCCCTTAAAGTTTGATCACTACATGCCCGGACACACTGTATAGGACGAGACAAGTCTTGTTGTCATCAACTCCTAGATCATAGACTCGAATTTGCGTTTCAGTACTTGCTTACCCCTTACTAATAAAACTTACACGCTCGTTGAACAGTGTTTTAAAGTGACGTTTAGTATGGAAATGTCATTTTAAAACACTGTTCAACGAGCGTGTAAGTTTTATTAGTAAGGGGGTTATAATCTTGTTAATCAATTAGGAGATTAAGCACAAACAAAAAAAAACACCGGATTGGAATGAAGGAATTGTCACGTTTTGCCATTCGTCTAGTGGAGAATGGAACTTTACCAAGTAAAATTATATCAGTTTCAACATGAGTTCTTCTTCTTCTTATTTTGTTCATAGTCACCCCTTTATCACCACCTTTATCACAATCGGCGTTTATCACCACCGCTTCCACCATGCACATCCCTATATGGGATAAAAATGACAATGACATTGACACTTACTTTTTCTTATTTTACCGTCTCTCTTGGTTTTTTGTAATTAATTAAATATCGGGTACAAAATTAAAGCCTTTAATCATTTATTTTTAAATTACATTACAAAAAAGTAGAACAAGCAGGGATTTAAGTATCATTGACTCATCAGAAATTTGCTCATTGCTTGTATTGTTTTGTACTAAAAAGTAAACGTCAGTTAAATGTCACTGACTGGAACGTTAAAATATTTCTGCAAGCAGCCAGTCAGCCAGCCAGCAGCCAGCGTACAACAAAAAAAATTACAAAGCCGAAAAGTGCTGAAAAGTCGTGTTGTTGGCAAGTGCGAGTATTGTCTTCATAGAATAGATCATAGGAATAGATCTATTACATATTGACGAGTAATCATCTAAATTAAATTTTAAAACCCAGAATAATTTGAAGAAACAGCAATGGCCTTACCTATTGTTTCTATTACTAGAAGAGAAACTTTTAGTTCATGTCACAGATTGCACAGGTATATTATTCAGGCTGCTCAAGTTAAATTAATGATTTCAAGAACTACATAATTTATGTCAATGGTCAATTAGTAGTGAGACTTCACCTGATGATATTTCTTTTGTTTCAAGTTTGCTTTTTTTGTAACTAAAGTTTTCTTTTTTAGCCCATTTCTAAGTGATGAAGAGAATAAAAAATTATATGGAAAATGCAACAACCCTAATGGACATGGGCACAATTATGTTGGTAAGTTTAAGTAATATTTTTATTTTTTAATTTAATTAAATTTTAATCATTGTTGAAACTGTTTTTTTTTATTTTCCTTGTATTTTATAGTGTTGGTCACAGTAAAGGGCCCAGTGGACCCACACACCGGCATGGTGATGAATGTTCATGATCTCAAGACATACATGCATTCTGCTATTATGGATCCTTTAGACCACAAAAACTTGGACCAAGATGTGCCATATTTCAAAACTGTGGTGAGTGAATGCAATGTAACCACAAACTGTAACATGAGAACTATATTTCACAACTGAGAATTATATTTCATAGGACGCTCATTATTAATATGTAACTAATGCATGGTTGACTCATTAGTTTATTGCAAATGATTATTTTACTTTCTATTTCTTATAGGTAAGCACAACAGAAAATCTTGCCATTTTTATTTGGGATCAACTTCAGAAAGTTATGGATAAACCGCAATTACTTCATGAAGTAAAAATATTGGAGACAGAAAAGAATCACGTAGTTTACAGAGGTGGATCCACTTATCCTAGAAAGAAGTTTGATAGCTCTACCTTACATACAAACCACAATGTATCTTCTGACTCAGACTGATTAACTTAATGACATTTTTATATTGCCAATAATCTCGAATTTATTTTTATGGACATTATAAAATTATCTTATTATTGACGTTTATAAGCAATGTACCGCATGTTAAAATTAAATCATTCCAAAACATATTATATTTCTTTCATTTCCATCCAGTCTATTACCTAACTATATTTGTAGGCCTCAACATGACAAAAAATGTATTCAAAGGTCCAGAGATAATGATTGTTGTTGGTTAGCACTTGACTAATTATTGAGATAATGGAATGGGTTTGATAAAAAAAATGACATTGAGAAAGGAAACATCTTGAATAATGTTGTGTAATAAAATTATGTAATTAATACTTAGTAGAGCAGTTTCTAACAATGTCTGAATCTTATTTTTGGGAAGGAAGTACTTTATTTCATTATCAATGGGTTGAATACGCCTAGCTTTGATTAAGTAAAATAAATGGGATGAATATTCCCCGATATCTACCAGTCCAATGGAGAGCAACATTTTTTTTTAATTCTACCATTTTTTAAAATAAATACCTACAATGGCACTCAAAACACATTATTCCAACAGGTGGTTGTTATCGTGAATGATCGATTTTATTAGGCAGTTCGATTTTATTGTTTACCACAACTATGTAAACAGTAAGTAGGTAATGTTTTTGTGTGAAGCTCGTAATTTGTTGCCTATTGATTGACCCCATGATCTTTGAACATTTGTTTACCTAAGAGCAGAAACAGAAACATTCATAATTTTATAGTGGCTAGTATTAAGCACAGATTAGAGAATATGTCCATGTTATGGTATTTTTATTAGGTACAATAGCTACTATATGGCCATTATAAGTGACACATCTAATTCACTACCTCAGCTTTGCTCCAATCCAAGTCTCCTATCGGAGCTGAGATATTGCCGCTAAGGCGAAAAGTCTGTATGTTGATATTATAATATTATAAAAATATTAATTACAAAAACCGCGTCCGTTTGGGAGCCAGACTAATGTTTGTCCGCACTTCACTAATGGTAGCATACAAATATCTTTTCCAATATAACAAAAAATATTTCGAATTCATACTTAAACAAAATTGGGCTTAATGGTATCATAAAAATAAAAGTTAGATAATTATCTGTTTATTGCACACTGAACAAATACAGGTCCTAATTTAGCAAAATATTCAATACATTGGCACAATAAAACACTAAATACATAAAAGTAAACTTTTGCACGGGTTATTTATAAAACAGATCAATAGACAATGAAGTTGCAAATAAATAATCAAGTTATATAATCTTAGTAATTACCTAATTAAGTAGGTATTTATCAATTTCACAAATTTTATGAGCAAAGCATAATAATCTATTATTTATTATTAAAAATTCTTAGCACATATAATTTATTTGTTTGTGATAGGAATATCTGAGTCTGAGTACATTGAGTACTTGTGCACAAACTTTTTTTGTTTGCATGTCATGACAATAAATAGGTTCCAAGACTGAATTTTTGATTAGGTAGCCTATACCTATAAATGATTCTAAAAATTATAAGTAATTCTTATAACTACATCATACAAATCTTAGTATCACACAATAATGTTTTTATTCAAAATAAATCTATACAGCTTCCTAAAAGCTAGAAAAAGAGTAAATAGAAATATTAAGAAAAAATAAATGGTTGCCATAAAAGCCATAAATAAGAATAATACAAACTTGTAAAAAAGAAAATTAAATACTATACCTACATCACAGATTGGCACTAGAATAATAGTACTTACTATAATCTTTTATAACTTTTGATGCTGCATCACAATAGATTTTAATTGATAATAATTAAATGTTTCACTGAATTAACACATTGCTATGTTAAAATAAAATCTGCTTATAATAAATATTTGTCACAATAGATTTAAAAATATTTACATTACAATTTATATAAATTTAATATGCGTACATACAATTGTATCCATCCTAATAGTATTCTCATAACATTCAAAACATTTTTAAAAAATGCGGCAAAAATATCAGTATTTAAATTGTTAGATTGCGATATTTTTGTCTCCTTTACACGGGTGTTTGATCGTGATATATGGCACGCCTAATTCGAAGTCGTTTTTGGGCCAATATCTAAGCTGGGGTTTTTGCTCTGGTCTTTCTTCCAATACATTAAAGTAAGCGAAAAGGACCAAGGCAGTGTAACTTGCTATGAAGATGAGGATGTGCCATACGCCGTGCATGTACGGGAAATTGATTGACAGCCACGCGTCACAGAACAAGCGATCCATTATCCAGCAGAATACCGCGAGACAGCTGACGGCGACGCAGCGAAGCCCCAGACGATAAACCCGGGCACACTTTACTCTGGAAATGAAGGACAACAATAATTAAATAACACGCACTTAATGTTTCTTAAGTTTAGTAATTTATTTGTCGGCGCCGGACACAGATGCTGCAAATTATTATTGATGATTAATAGTACCAATCTTAATATTATGTTATCTGATAAATCTGTAGAGCGGAAGGTTTGTGATTCCTAAACGTAACACCCGACTGATGCGCAGAAAAAGATAACTGTCAATCAGTTGTGTCATGTCAAGTGTGAGCAGGCGGCTGCGAGGTTATCTTTGAAAGCGTATTGAGTTTGGTGGAACGTTAAATTGTAGGAAAAGTGATTGTCAACCATCCAAGATATTATCTCCTTGCCCGTTAACCCACGCCAATGGAGATTCCACCCCTAGAGTTCCTTCTGATAGAGACCCAGTGCCTTTATATTTAAGTCTAAATTACTTACTTAGGGGGCGTCCATTAATTACGTAAGACAATTTTGGCAGTTTTTCAACCCCCCGCCCCCCTTGGTGAGATTTGGTGAGATTTTGCTCGACCCCCTCCCCCTCCCCCTAATCTCACGTGAGATTTTTCAAAATGCGTAATTGCAACGTAACTAAATGAGTTTATCTATGCTTCGATTAGTTAGTACCTACCTACATTAGATTCATACATGAAAACCTTTCTTAGCGTAGTAATCTTTCGTAACATAATAATGAGAATATATTTTTGGTTTCGTCGTAGAATGTAAAACCTGTAAGATTTCTATTTTAATTGAACACTATTTGTTGCTGAAAAATTTTACGTGATATTTGTCGAAACCCCCCCCCTTTAGATTTTTCATACAAAAGGATTTTCCCGCTAATTCCCGTTCCCGTGGGAATTCCTAAGTATCCTATAACCTGCCCAGGAGTATGAAGAATAATTGTACCAAGTTTCGTTAAAATCCGTCAAGTAATTTTTGTTTCTATAAGGAACATACAGACAAACAGACAGACAGACAAAAATTTTACTGATTGCATTTTTGGCATCAGTATCGATCACTAATCACCCCCTGATAGTTATTTTGAAAATATATTTCATGTACAGAATTGACCTCTCTACAGATTTATTATAAGTATAGATTTGTTAGTTACTTCATCAACATACAAATTAAACTACACTACAACCCGGTCGAGTTAACGTCGCACCTGGTAGCTGTGACGTCACATCAACGCTCAAGGATGGGGCGAAGGCGTGGTGGTGTGTGGGCAGTGTTGGCAAAAAGTTAATCTGATTAATGATTAAAATCATAATCAAATTTTTTTGATTATGATTAATTAATCAATAATCAAAAATTTTGATTAAGATTAATTAATCATACCTAATCATTAATCGTTAATTTGATTATTTGATTAACTATCTACTATTTTCATAAGAAAAGGGTTGGGGGTGTATGAAAAGGTACCTGCGACTTATAAAATGTCTAGCAGGGAGGTGCAGGAGAGTTCGTACCAGAAGTTTCGGGGGGAGGGCCACGCGTGGGCAATTCAATAGAAGGGTGGGGTTGCTAAGCTAGGAGGTTTTGCGTGTTGGGGAGGTGCTGGAGAGTTCGTACCAGAAGTTTCGGGGGGAGAACCACGCGTGGGCAATTCTATAGAAGGGTGGTTTTGCTAAGCTAGGAGGTTTTGCGTGTTGGGGAGGTGCTGGAGAGTTCGTACCAGAAGTTTCGGGGGGAGAACCACGCGTGGGCAATTCTATAGAAGGGTGGGGTTGCTAAGCTAGGAGGTTTTTCGTGTTGGGGAGGTGCAGGCCACGTGTGGGGTAGCAAGTAAGTGCTGGAACGTTAGGGGAAGTGGACTGATATCCTCCTACGGGAGGTCGGAAGACTGCACCGGAAGTTTCAGCGAGGGAAGGGGGCGGGGGGCAGCTTAGGTTACCTTATATTTATCTAGGTATGACCTGTCGTAGAATTGTAGCCTAAAACATCTAATATTGGAATTCAATGTTTTAACATTGTTTTCGAGAGAACATTTAAGAAGTTAATCAAGTTAATCAAATTAATGATTATTGATTAATGATTAACTAATTAATCATGATTATGATTACTTTTTTAATCATGATTATTTTAATCAGGATTAATTTAATCATGATTAAAATTAATCAAATTAATTAATTGATTAAAAAAATAATTGATTAGTGCCAACACTGTGTGTGGGTGCGTGCGAGAGAGTCGCAATCAGAGAGATGCGCAGTTAACTCGATCGGGTGTTAATATGTAGACCATTAACCCCTCGTGGTTGTGGTAAGTCAAATATGCTTGTGTTAGGTATATGAGTGGGTTCACCTCAATACGGCGACAGGGTTCGAACCTGCGTTCTTCGGATATCTATTCGGAGTTTAATTAATATCTTACCTATGCAGCTCTATGTAAAGAAATCCAATAGCAGGCAACGATAAAGTCATTAGAGCGAACGCGTTGGCGGCAGGATGCATGACGAGGAAGCCGGTGGAAAACACGGAGAAAACGCTCGAATAAAATCCCAACACTCTCCTGTAATAGTAACAAACAAAAGTTTATCAAAGTTCGATAGAGTAGTAAACATATTATTCATTGTTCTGGTGCACTTGCACTGAATACACTCAACTGACATGTTTATATTTTATCGGAATCGTTACTATGTCAGTTTATTAATTACGAATTGTATTAAAACCATTTTACATCGGCGCAGTTTAAGTTGCATATTATTATGTCCGTGGAGGATTTTTAGTTTTTATTTATGACTCTCGGAAAATTTACGATTTCGATTAAATGTTGGCATTTTCGCAAATGTGTGGGTGGCGGCAACTGGTATCTACGCGTACGCGTACACAAAAATGTATTAGCTAGCTACGTAAATATGTGATTATGTTGCGATGATAGGTACATTATCTACGACTCAAACGTGTGATTTAAGAGTTTTTAAGCCCCGATACACGTCACCAACATCAAGCTCTACGATCGATAGCATATTTTATGTACCTACGTAATGTTTTTATTCTTCTTTTCATTTCAACTTAATAATAACAATGCGAAATTCATTATAACCAATAATAATACTAATTAACCAGTACCGCGAGCCTTCTCATTAGCGCTAACATAGCATGACTAAACGCAGTAGCTGTTCATGCTAAGAAATAATTATCAACTGTAGCATAATAACCAAGGTTGATTTAACAATGGTCTTGAATTGATTAAACTATTCATACTGAAAACATATTGAAGATGAGAATCAGGAGTACTGTTTATAAAACATTTTATAAATGGATTAATACCACTATAATAATAGTATAAATGTCTTTAATGAAATTAAATCTAATCAGAAAATTTCTATAGTATTAGTCATTTGATTTTGTTGGGACCGTAAACAGGAAAGCTATAAGTTGGTCCAGGATTTTTTATAATGCAATATTAATATTATTTAAGAAATTAAATAGTTATTGTTTAAGCTATAAAAATAGATTTTAATATTACTCACCTATTTCCTCCCAAAAATTTTGGAAAATATCTCCGAGGTAAAAACATCGCAAAAGCTGCCATGAATACCCAAAGGATTGCAAGCTCATCCAGAAGCTGCCCTGAAATATTAAATACAACATTAATCATTAAAATTAACAGTTACAACTTACACACTAAACTTGTTTAAACACAGAAAAAATGTGGTAAAGCATTGGTGTAGAAATTGTAAAAATCTACATAACTTCACAAAATAAATTACTGTATTTTATTTTGTGAAGTTATGTAGATTTTTACAATTTCTACACCATGAGAAATGTTCATATTCATATTTATTGTGCACCTTGTTGTACTTAAAGTTTTCGAAAGTGGCCATACAAATTACTTTATTACTCCATACTAATATAATACATGGCCAAGTTATCACCGAAAAGTTGGATAGCTATAAAATTAATGCATATACCTAAGAGTTAATAAAACTTTTTTATAATAAACAAAATTTGGCAAATCAACTTCTATTACATATTCAACCTTGATGCAATGAAACATATTACAAAACATATTACTTTGAGACTGCATACATTGAGAAATATTATTTCTACAACAGGCACCTAATTCATTATACTCTATGGAATAGGGCTTTTCAGATGAAAATATATGAAAACAGTTAGGTAGGTAGTATTATTTTTGAAAGGTTCTGATTGTGCAATCTAGTTTCTGATAAGATAAAAAAATCTATCCTATGATAATATTAAAAAATGTTCTATTATTTATGATACACTATCTGATAATTTATCGACTTACCCACAAGGCTCAATGTTGCATGGAAGTAAGCTGAACTGAGCCCCACAATCATCAAGAGCACCCAGAGTACATTGATGCCAGGATTTACAAACTTGGAATACTCTTGAAAGAGATGAATCAGAATAGGTGGGAACAGAAAGAACAACACGTTGCTGACCTGTTAAACATAAGTATTATTTAAAATTGTAACTTCGAAAATTTCTTACAAGAAATAATGAATGAAAAAACAAATTTTAACTTACAGTATTTACGAACTCCGCGACCATGGGAGAAATAGAATAGTTTGATTCACACCAATCCACTGGGGAACTTCCACGTTCCAAGTGCGACCACATTTTTAATTTCTTTGTTTACAAATTCCGACTTGGTCAAGTTTTTGAAATTACAACGCACGCAAAAATTTACATTAATTTTAGTAGAGCTTTTAACCTACGAAACAAAGCATGTCCAAAGTTACAGTGTATTACTATCTGAATTTGAACAAATAATTTGAATTGTTATTTAAAACTTCAGTAAATACGCGTCAGCGAAAAAGAAAAACATGTCAAGTCCATTCGAAGAAAATTGATTGAATGAAAATGACAGCTCGCAGTTGACAGTCCGTGCATGACAAATCAATTGACGTATCCCATCACCTTATAAATCTATGGACTGGCCTCCTGAAAAAAGTGTATAACTAAATCTAAAGTTGAACATAAAATTATTAACTAACTTTATGTTAAACCTAATGTTTTTTTAGATTCTGTAAGTGTTTTTAAGTTTCTTGCCACATTGAATATTTAACCCAAAAATTATACAAAAAAATCTTTTCACAGATATACCACTGTGCAGACATGTTTAGTTCCATTACATTGGGCGACTCCTATCTAACTGCCATTGATCTAAGTTTTTCTTCTACCCGCCACCACAAACTTTGCTTGAGCTTGAGGTGGTACTTGTAAGTTGGTAGGTAGATGGTCTGTAATGTAGGTAGAATTTTGCGAACGTGATAGTGTGATGAACGCATCCTCCTATCACCACACCACCACCACTTGCATTCCGCTGAACATTACCTGATGAAAGCTAAGCGTCCACTTGTCGGTATCGTACGCAACGGACGCATCGTACGAAGCACATCGTATCGGATGTGCGCTGCGTACGATGCGGACAGGTGGACGCACTTATACAGTGTGAGTCACGTTAAAGTGTACATATGAAAAGAGATGAAACTAGACCTATTTTTATCGATAAAAAAGAGGTCAAAAAATTTTTGAGATTTTTTTTTTAATTTTTATAGAATTTTTTTTCTTCCAATTACTTATTGTAAAGAAAACGTAATTACTTTTAAACTAAGCGGTATATCCTGATAAAAGAAAAACAGTAATAATGCTAAATAACAGGCGATACTAAAAAAATACATGAAATAGCCAGAAAATGCCAACAAATAATAAAAAATGATACTTTTTTAAAAAAATCTGCTTAAAATTTCGTATTTTTTTGGTTATTTGATAAATTTCTCCAAAAAATGCCCCTATAACAGGTGGTTTTTATTACTTTTTATTATTCTCTATCGTATTACTTTTGTAAAACCAAAAATCGCATGTCTCTATCCCTATCACAACGTTTGCAATGATCGTTTGAACTAAGCCTCTCCGGGCGCGCCATTCAACGCTTCGTTAACAACGAAACTGAAAGTGACTCTAGAATTGTAATTTAGATAAAGACAAGTTAGATTTCAAATAAAAACAAAAGATTTCGAAGTATAATAAGCATTTTAGTTAAAATGAAAATTGTCTCTACCTGTAGCGGAGAAAAATGTGGTGGCAGGCCTTTGTTCAAACGATCATAGCAAATGTTGTGATAGTGATAGAGACATGCGATTTTTAGTTTTACAAAAGTAATACGATAGAGAATAATAAAAAGTAATAAAAACCATCTGTTATAGGGGCATTTTTTGGATAAATTTATCAAATAACCAAAAAAATACGAATTTTTAAGCAGATTTTTTTCAAAAAGTATCATTTTTTATTATTTGTTGGCCTTTTTTGTGTATTTTATGTATACAAATACAAAATACAAAATATTTTATTTCATTACAAAAGTACATTAAATAACATACAGGGTTTGGAGTTTCCTTTTAAGCATACAGTTGCTTGTGTTAGGAAACACCGCTCTTGTGTTAACAATATTTAAGTAGAACTCATTCAAATCTCTATTGTACCGCGTGTCAGTGTGTGTGTGTGTGTGTGTGTGTGTGTGTGTGTGTGTGTGTGTGTGAATACTATGTATAAGGTTTGACTAGGTTTTCGATATCGTCATAGTTTTTGGTCTTAAGCCACTCTGTGATTCTGTTTTTACACTCATGGATAGTCAACGGATAAATATTTAATTCATTGTTAAGGACATTATAAATAGAGGATGACAGTCTACCGTATTGACGTTTAGCAAAAGTAGTTTTGACCATAGCTGTAGGAACAACATTTTTCTTTCTTCTGCTATCAGTATTTATAAGTTTGATGTCGTAGGGAAAGTATTTGTGTATTTTTAAGGCAATCAGGAGCACATAAAGCTTACGTACACTAAGGAGGCCCGACGTCAGGAAGAGCATATCAGTAGGAAACCTGTAGGGTTTGATTGTTTTAGTATTGCCTGTTATTTAGCATTATTACTGTTTTTATTTTATCAGGATATACCGCTAAGTTTAAAAGTTATTACGTTTTCTTTACAATAAGTAATTGGAAGAAAAAAAATTCTATAAAAAATTTAAAAAAAATCTCAAAAAATTTTTGACCTCTTTTTTGTCGATAAAAATAGGTCTAGTTTCATCTATTTTCATATGTACACTTTAACGTGACTCACACTGTATATGAGTTTCCATATAAATAATACTACGATCCGTTGCGTGCGATACGTCCGATGCGTACGATACCGACATGTGGACGCTTAGCTTGTAGGTGCCGCACAAACACTGTCGTGTCGTCAGTGGCATGGTCATATAGAAATCGTCTAATTTATTTGGGTTAAAATACTTAAACGTTAAATGAAATTATTAATATGCGGCTATTACACCGTAGATTAATCCTAGGGTAGATTGCGAAAATAAGCCGGAAGCACACCCAGACGCGATTATACTGTACAAGAATTAAAAACATTCTATGTTGAAAAAAATAGCTTCACACGCGGCGCTGGTCAACCAGGAATCGAACCCGGAGCTTTTAAGGCGATCTTGTTTAGTACCTATTAGAACGCGAAAAATTGTTCACCATGACCATAACAACTTAATAAAAGAATAATGTACAGAACCCACAGCAGTTTTCCTATTCGTATTTGCTTCATTTAATTTACGAAACTTGAAAGCTTTGATATCATAATGACAATGACAGTTTAAATCAAAAATTTCCGTGGGAAGTCGTTTTATTTTCACTAAATTCATTGTTATCACCGGCATATAATTAAAATAATGGATAACACTACATATCCCGGTTCAGGTACCTATTTAAATTTCGCTTAAAAATAATTAAAAAGCTAGATAGCATTCTCCATATAGGTATCTCGAGTTACCACCTTTCTTACCACATTTCGGCAAATAATGCAGTGTAGGACGTCCCCCAGCTTATGCAATGAGGGCTATCGTTTTAGCGCTCACCAGTTAGCGCCACTGTAGAGTAGGTAAGTTCCTGTCACTTGCTAGTAGCGAAGACAGTGGCACCAACTGGTGAGCGCTAAAGTGGTAGGAGGACCATCGCATTTGCACTCATCAAGATGGCGCCACTGTAAAGTAAGGTCCTCTCAATCGCCAGGGGTACGTGCCAACTGTTAAGTATAAAAACGATAGCCCTCATTGGCGACATCAAGAAGATAGCTAGCAGTGGTTGCTCTAAAGCTTTAAGGTTGTATGAGTCGAGGGGAATGTAGACACTAGAAATAATAATACAAATTCATATTGTAATTTTAAAGAGCACGTGTAGACATCTAAGGAATTCCTCTGCTCTGTTGTGGCACGAGTTTTTTTAAACTAAGTTTATGAACCGAGTCATTTTGTAGATACCTATTTATTTACAATTGATTTCAGAAACGGATGTTAATGAAACCTACGACAATTGTGACTTTCATTCATTAGCAAGTAACGAGTTGGATTTCGTAGACCATTGGGTCAATTTGACAGTGGAAAAAGAAGTACTGAGAGGCTGTAAGCTTCGGGAAGAGAAAGTCAAGTCATATCCTCTGTCGGACGAGTATAATGTTGGGAACGTCAACTTGATACCACCAGCCAATAATACACCATGTTACAGGTAAAATTACTGCCTAATTTAGACAGATGATTAAATATTAGTGTTTGCCAGAAAGTAGAGGGCAAACGAAGTTCATGACATTCTCAGTTACCTACTACGCTAGAGCGTATCGCCTTAAATAAAGGAATCCTTATCCAATTCAAATAAAGGAATCGCTATCTAATTCAGTCTAGAAGATTAAAACTGATAGGTAGTGAGAGCATATTTAACGCGCTATCATTCAGCACCAAAACCACCGCTCTTTATTGCCATTTCTTGTCTTTAACTACAAGCAAACTGTCATTGTGTAGTCAGTGTCAGTGTAATATTGAAATGTTTTCATGTGTTTCAGAAAACCTTCACCGGGAAGAACTAAAATGAAGACGGGCTCGTGTAGTCCCAGATCGAATTCCCCTTTCTTCAGAGGCAACTCTTCATCCCGAGCCTATACGCTTACGTGTTCTCGGCCAAACACACCGAGTTTCAAAGCTAGATGTGCCTCAAGATGTCCCATGAGGATCGCCGAGCTGGCTGTACCCACCAAACGGCAATGCATTGATACTTGGCGAAACAAATGCGATGTTCTTCCAGCTTTTATGGTACTGCAAGTTACATTACGTCTTGGTTTTTCCTTATCAGTTATACAAATATTCAAAAATCTTCCAATAATTGATAGGTGGAGAGATTACGACAGCAAATAATGGATGAAAGACCGATTGTACACATACCAGAAGCAATAAGTTGTTTTAAACGACGAAAACCTAAATCAATTAAATCTGTAAAGAGGTAAATTACTTATCTAATACGAGTACATTCAGAATTTAAGACCGTAGGTATGGTAGACGTAGAATGGTGGACCGTGGTGGGCCACATAGTAGGTACTTATAAATGGAAAAAAGTAATGAAAATGAGACTAAAGTTATTATTTTCAGAACTAAAAAGGGGGCTCGTGACTCAAAACTGAAGAACGAAAGGATGGCAGAGATCAGAAACTTGTGTGCGGCCTTCGCCAACAAAATTGCTCAACGGTTGATCACGTCGCAAAATTTGAAACTTACTCCAGAGTAAGATTCTTTGCCTATTTAATTAGGATTGGCTTAGCTTGGTCGTCTTTATCAATAATGCTATTTCAGTTGGCCCAATTAGGTAATTAGTGATAATAGTAATGAAAGAAAATGTACGTCCATTCTCAGGTTGGAGAAAATATCGAAAATTGTAGCGGATGAAATAACAAACATCATTCAAAACCGAAGGAAATTCAGCCTAGATGATGTAACTAACAAGAAGATTCAAGCCGATATAGCAGATAAGGTTCACGCTTTAT